GAATTTATCGAAAAGAATATTCTTCTTTGAAATACTAGTCATTTAACACTAAATAATTGACAACATGACATATGGTGGTTGTGGTGTGGTATTATGTTAAGCCCATATACCTTTGACAAATGTAATGGTTTTAACAAGATCAATGGTAACTCTAATAAATAAGTTTTAGGATACATATTTTTTTTTATTTTTCCCCATGACTTCACAGATAAATGTACTTTTGATAATGATTATTATTTCAAACTAATTTAATCATTTTTTTTCATACAAGTAACCTTGAACGTTTTTTTCTTCTTTCATTTAATATAAATAAGTAACTCGACCAAAGTAAACTTTACAGTAAACAAAAAAGTGTATTCAGCTTATAAAACACAACAATCTTCAATATTTCATATTAGATTAATATAAAAGTACATTGATTAATTATACTGTCCATGAAATTGTTCGAAAAACTTTTTTTTAATTATTGTAAATTACATTATGATTTCACTATTAAAATAGATTTCTTACTTAAAATTCAATAAGAAAATGATTTATCATTATTCAACTTCTTATCAACTATGAACATCTTGGACCTGAGAACAATATTTGACGAGACTCTAATTTATGGACCAGCCAATCAGAGGCGTTTTAGAGATTTCAAGGTTACGGCACCAACTTCAGTGCTCAATGCTAGCGTACGATCGGTTCACAGGGAATTTTGTACAAAACGTAATAATTGAGCGGCTGTAACAAATAAAACGGCGGGATTATAATTTGTGGACGAATCAATCAGGTATAAGATAATAGATCTCGGATTTTAACGCGAAAGCCTTCCATCCATATGGCTGAATAAATTTCTGGCATTTTAGCTTATGTCAGCTCGTGATGAAAACCTCATATATAATTCCTAACTAAGGCAAACTACGACAATTATTGCGAACTGGATAATAAAAGTACCAGTAACACTGGCTGCAGCCAAGTACTACCATATATACGGATGTTTGGAGAGCGTGCACTCAACAACCGAAGGTCGACTATTCTGTGGCCGTATGAATGATTTCCTCTACTGCATGCATTACGATTTTAGAACCTCTGAACCTCTTTCTAACCTTGACAAATTTTCGAATCACGTATAAGAAGTGTATCCACTTTATTTCCTTGGTTTTTTATAATAGTCTTACTCTATGCCTACTGTTTGCTGATTGGCTAATATTTCCCAAGGTCACTGAAGATTCGTTCAAAGATCGTCCATAAATTAGAGTCTCGCCCAATATTTTAATATATACTTTAAATAATGATATTGACATGTAGGTATCATTACAAAGGTTTGATTGGATAATTGTAAATAAATTGAGCATTAGATGTAGATTAAAGAGAGTATGAACAAAGATTGGTATAGAATAATATGAATTCATTTTATTTCGTTAGATTCTCATTAGCTGCTTACAACCTCTGATTTTCAAATATTTTAGGTTGTAAGCAACTGATGAGAATCTAAAGAAATAAAATTAATTCATATTCTGCACCAATCTTTGTTCTTGCTCTCTTTAAGATAATAAAGGGAACTCTGTGTATGACATTGGGTAGATTGTTATAAATAAATTAATGTATTTGTAATATCCTAATGAGTAAGAAATATTACATTTGCTATCGTTTTGTGACTCAGTATAAGCCACTTCTTCAGGGAATAAATAACCAAATCAATTTTAATCGTTTATTTATACTTGGATTAATTTTGATTTGGTTATTTATATATTCTCTGAAGAAATAACTTACACTGAGTCATGAGACGTCAAAAAATCTAATTTTTCTACTCATTGGGATATTACAAATCTATTGATGTTGACATGTGTTTAAAATAGAACTGAAGGTTATCGTAAATGAAAGAAGACATAAAATGTGATGCTAAAAGTTGTAAAGATTAATGCGTAATTATATATTGCAAAGCAGCCATGAAAAAATACCCAATTATTTTAACTAAGTTTATTATCAAACTATAATCGGTGTATTTTGATTTATTAGGCTAAATTTTAGAATTTCTGTTTTATAAATAGATGCTGAGCATTATTTAGTTAGCAATAATTTGAAGATATAATAAGTAAGCTTCAGGTTCCTTTATCAATTAACTCTAAGACCATAAATTTTAGTATCAGTGCAGAAGTTGTTAGCTATATTTCATGAAATTTTAGAGCTCTTACTCACACAGACTTTAGTTAGACCACCATGTAAGGCCAGAAAGAACTAGACAGACGTTCCGTCCTAGTGTGAAATTCCTAAAATGTGCGTATTCACGACCATATCAGGCACAGAGTTAAAGACCATAGGGCATCACACGAGGGCCTAATCATTATACCACTCAGTTGGCACTCAATCACTCATATTACTAACTTTACTCGCGATACTGTCGGTCTTCAATCTATTGCTTTGAGCAGCATCTTTTTCATTTCAAATGTAATCAAACCCGATCGGTCACAGTATACCACTAGAAATCTAGGAATTACTTTGAAAGTAAGTTATTTTCGAGGGTATCAGAAATAGCACAATCAAGCAATACGGCTTCTGACTTCATTAAGTTGTTTTTCATTTTTACTTTTCATTGCCAAACATCTTCCACAAATCTAAACATTTAACATTACATTCTTTTTTCATGTAACGTTTATATATATATATATATATATATATATATATATATATATATATAATGTACAATTGGTAGATAAGAATCGATTATAATTATATTGTTATACTTCTATATCCCTCTAATGATGAGCTTCCAGTAGACATATAAATCATGATTATAGATTGTACTGTTCCTAAATCAGTGCTAATTGATTATATACTGTTTGCTCTGCTCTCTGTCATTTATGATATGATCGGCGTTCTGTATGATCAGGTACTTTCGGTATTGATATGGTGGGATTAAAAGGCGAAATTACATTCTTTTACCCTTTATGATTTTTATTCAAGATTACTTCCGTTTTATATGAATATGATGATTATTCAGTGTAGTATTTGTTTATATTTTCCAGTGTGATATTTTATTCTGTAAAACAATAATTAATTTGAGTGTTGTGTTACTTTGATATGCTTGTATTAAATTAATATGAACTGTGTTCGGAATGACAAGCACCTTTGATTTTTTATAAATTGGGGTATTTTTCACGTTATTTTATCTGATCAAAAGAGGTATACAATCAATATATAAATGAGTGTATTTTCAACTAGGTTCATCGTGTTTTGGGTTTAATAAATCTTCACTTTTATCAATCTTAGTGTTCATACCCGCGTTGTGGGAATCGCAGTGGTTCCTCGTTTTATAAGTATGAGTAGCAAAGCGATTCCGACATAACAATTAGCGACGATCAAACATAACAATCGGTGACTCAGTCATATCAGGTACATTATTGTACATGTTTTTAGTACAATAGGGAACTAATCTGCATCCTGTCATTGTCTTCTGATTAGCTTCTGGGTTAGAAAGAGGCGTCAAGGTCTTAATTGTGATTCATTGGTTAGTGTATAAATTCGTGAAATCAGCCACTGGTCCTACTGGTAATATAGTACGTGATACTGATTAAGAATTCTCAACGTTTAATGAATCCTTATCCTTTTTTCTTAAGCGACAACATTATTATGAGTCATATCTGGTCAAGGTAGGGATAGGGGTGTCACTAACTTTTGAGCAGATGATACCATAAAGAAGCAGTTGGAGTTTGTCATTAACATACTGGCGGAATTAGGCTGCCCAAGAGGTTATTCTAAAGAAATACATGTATGCAGGGAAAATAAGTTGGAAACACGGACCAATCATAAAAGTCTAATTTATCTAAGTTTGGCCTACTTGCCTTATTGAACTATTGTGTAAACCTTTCACCATTTTGTTATTCATATCATCACTATCAGTTTTTGCTGTTTACCAGTTATTTAAATGGTTACTCTGTACAGTAATAATTATGATATTTTGCATATATATAACGATTAATTGCAATGTATTCGGACTAGTATGTTATAAATGTAAACAAAGAAGTACCGTTCATATCCAATGACTATTTGAATATTTGGTCTTTGCCGAGTGGCTCGATGATAAAGAAATATTCACGTAGATGAATTAACTTGCATATTCTTTCACTACCAAGCATTTTCACTGTGAGATGGTCGAGAAGATTTTTAGCTCAGGTGGATGATTTTGATGGAGTTTTGTCCTCTGAGATGGATGGTTTGGTCGTGGAGCTTTCATCGTTCGACCGTCATCGACCAAACCATCCAGCTCAGAGAACAAAACTCCATCAAAGTTTGAGAATTTACTTAACTCCAATTATAATTAGTAAGATATTATTTTAGTGAATATTGTTTCATTAGAACAATTGTTATGGAATCATTTTCTACCTTCATTTATTTTAAATATACAATCTATTTGAAAGGAAGTTGGTTAAAGTAAACTCATCTAATTGAACTTCGTTAATTCACCTAATAGGGACTCGTTAACTGTAACGTTCATCATCAACTGTATATGAATACTGATCTAATCTTGTTAGCATCATGTACTGAAAGTTTAATAATAAAGTAAAAGACATATTGCTTTTTGCATGAACACACTATTGATTAACACAAAAATGAATTTGCTTTCTTGTATAATTATTTTACTTAGTGAATAAGATTAGACTATAGTTTATAGACGACCTTTAAGCGACGCTAGAGTGACTTTAAGAGTGTTCACTCACTAACTAGGACAAAACGAAGGTTATAAAACAGTGTGAGGAATTAGAATTATGATTTACAGTTGATGGTTAAGGTTAAGAATTAGATTTAGAATTTTCATCACAAACTGACATTAGTTATAATGCCAGAACGGTATTTTGCCAAATGAATGAGTAAATTTCACACTAAAATCCATGACCTTTTATCTTATACCTGATTGGTTCATCCATAAATTATAGTCTCGCCGTGAATAAACTTGTTGAAATTAAGATCATTTTGTCGTTCTTATTTTTCCAACACTTTGTTTCTTTCTTTATTAGTTGCAATGGAACTGACAAAATCGAACCTTTCTGATTGTCAAACTAATGTAATTAAACAATGATTTATACTGTTAAGGAAAATTGTTTATCCGGTTATGATGAATCAGTCAAATGTAATCATTGTAATCAACTAGAACATGAATCTTCGTGTATAAATTGTTCAACAAAGATGCATCAAAATGTATCAATTCCTAATGATAGTTTCATATCAACTAGAAGAAATAAACCTAAAGGAAAATTGGAATTATTTTGTGTTTTATCTTCAATACGCGGTGTACAAAGAATTTATAGTTCACAAATTCCATTTATTCGTATTTTATGGATTTTATTTGTTATTATAATGACATGTGTTTTAATGGTTAGTTCCGGTTTTTTAATTTCTGATTATTTATGTTATTCTACAGCCTGGAATACACGTAGTTTATTAGATGATAAATCTGAATTCCCTGCAATCACATTATGTGCACATAATCCATTTTCTTTAAATGTGAATAGTTTATGGAAAGAAAATATTGTACCAAGTCCAAGAGAGATTAAATCACGTTTAAGACAGTTATTAGTAACAATGTTAGATAATGGTATTACAGATTATACTGGTGATTTAGCTTTCTCAGATTCAATAGAATTTTATTATACAAATTTAAATTTAAATGATACAATTAAAGTCGGTCATGATAAAGATATGCTTTATCATTGCATGTTATATGAAGAAGGATCAACAGTTGTTGCAGAAAAATGTGATTTAGAACCAGAAACATCTATCAGAATAAGACGTTTCACACATCCTAAATACTTTAATTGTTGGACTATAGATGGTAAACCGAATGCCTCAACTTCTGATGTCACACGATTAATTATTCTAGCACATTTAATACCATTAAAAAAAATTGAAGGCGCAAATACTTCATTTATTATGGATTCATTTACACGTGGTGAAGGTATTAAAGTTGTTATACACGAAAAAGGTACTTATCCAGAGATTGAAAAACATGGTGTTAATATACAACCAGGTCGTATGAATGAAATTAATTATGAAACAATATTTTGGAAACGTCTACATACCCCAGTAGCACCATGTACAAATGAAAATATTTCAATTGAAGATCTTGGTATATATTATACATATAAACAAAGTCAATGCCTTAATCGTATGTTACAAAATGAATTATTTACAAGATGTGGTTGTCTTAATTCTGAATGGCCTCGATCAATTAAATTATTAGATCAACATAAATCTTTACCATATTGTCAAAAATTACCAATCAATGTAAATAATATACATGGAGCAGAAGAAATGAAAACACGTCTTGATTGTTTCGGTACAGTATTAACTGATTTAAAACAACTTAAAGAGAAAGCTGTACAAAAAGGTGTTTGTATACCACGTTGTGGTTATTATACATATGATACAAAATTAAGTGTTACATCATGGGATCCAGATCCATATAAACTTGCTTTATATACAAAAGGTTATAGACATGTTGATAAATTTTTAAATGAACCAAATCAAAGAAAACATATTGATGAATTATTAGAAAATTTTGATGCATCAATAGATCCAATAAAAAATAAAAATCAATTACATTCAATACGTACATTATTTTCTAATGATTATCAACGTTTTGATGATGGAACACATACATATATTAGTTTAATTAGACAAGATTTTGATACAATCATGAAAGAAGAACGTTTAGTATTTGATATTTATATATTAATATCACGTATAGGTGGTTTATGTTCATTATGTATTGGTTTAACAATGGCATTTATAGTTGAATTAGTTGAATTTGTTTATTTACTTTGTTTTAAAAATGATATGAAATTAACACAATCAAATGAAAATTATAAATTAAATCAAAATATAAAAACAATGAAAATTAATTGTAAACAACATTGTTTACATAATAAAGAGGAAATAGAACATAATCAATATTATTTGAATGAATCCAAATTGTCAACGATTCCAAATAATCACCATTGTCATCATCATCATCAACAGCAAAGCCAAAATCTTTGGCAAATAAATTGTGATAATGATAATAATAGTAATAATAATAATAATATTAATATTAATAATGACAGTAATAAAAATGAAGAATTTTTAACTTCTGAAATAATTCCAAATTGTTTTACCTTAACAACTAATATTGAAAATGATAATCAGTCAGTAACCACAAGTGTTACACAAACTCCAATTGAAAATTAAATTATTATTATTATTATTATAGATTGTTAGTTTAATAAAAACCTTCCTTGTCAAACTATTAAATTGTAGTGAATAATTGAATTTAATTATTTGACTCCATTTTGATTTCATTGAATCATTAACTATTTATTATTTGATTATACATTAACATCAGTTACCGTTGAAGTGACACATGATTTGTGTTGACCCAGTGTGAATGATGTATGTTTCTGTCATAATATGCATATCTTCTCTTTTATTTTGTATGTTAATTATATTACATAAAGCTTATGAATATATTTTCTTGCATGTTCTTTCTGTATCATTTGTATCATTTGACAACAACAACAAAATTGTATTCAATTATAGATGATTTGGTCATATCTAATTCAGTCTTGATTTAAAATTACAGAATCATATATTCATTTGATTGAAAGATCAGTATATACTTCGAAAAATACATGCATATGAACAATATTGTATACTAATTTAATGAAATGTTGTTTATTTATTTAATGTAAATGATTCCTTAGGATATGTGAATAAAAAATTTTCATCAGTATCATTATTCATCATTTTTTTAGATGATATCAGTATGTTAAAGTGAAAATATATTCGCTAACAAATCACCCTCGTAACCGTTACCATATAATCCTCAAGGGTGTTTGAAATCAGAAGGCAAAGAGAAGCAGCTACTAGAATTTTATTAGCAGATACTCAGACCACAAAGCAGTGAGGCGAATGAATGAGTCAGCGAACCGAGAGTGTACAGTGTGTGTAGAGTGTAAATGTACGTGTATATATATATAGGGAAATGAATAGATCATCGAATTAATTAAGCAGCTAATAATAAAGCTAGCAGAATGAATATGTGCGTAGGTGGTAAACTATGTTCGAGAATACATATTTCATACAAACACAACAATAATAAAGGTACAATAAGTTGTTATAGTAAGGATGACTTTGTCCGCTAAATAAGTTAACAAAAGGGCTTAACTGAGTTAATGAGAATAATCAATTGCACGTGAGTCGCTATAAATATATCTTCAATAGTATATAATATGATTCGATGAAATTATGAGAAATAAAATAATTAATAAGCGAAGATGGATAGTGGATGGCAATGGAATCGAGGACGTGTGTTTCGTTCTGTTTGGGGCTCGTCAGCTTGATGTACCTGCATCCCAGAATTGATGTCCTAAACATCAATGGGAAAATTCAAACAAATAATACGAAATGAAATAAGAATTAATATATCTAAATTTGATTTATTTAGATTTCACAAACTTTTTGTGTGACATTAAGATAGTCTACATTGTCAACTGATAATAATCGAGAAATTAAACAAATTCCTGAATAAAACTAGTGGCTTAATAGGTCTTAAACAGAAATGAAACACTGATTTATTGATATATACTTTTCGAAAGTTCACTGATCACTTTATTACAAAATAAATATCTACCAACTGTATATTCAGATAGACGTACACCATCAATAAAAATAGAGCAACCTAATCAATCTGCTGAAAAAAAATGTGTAAGAACATTTCTCAGGAACCATAACATAGGCCCCCTAAACAATTTTTAGAAAATGGAGCAATAATCTCCAACATTATAGAAAAGTAACACACTAATAACGACTCAAATTATTAATATTGCACTATAGGTCATCCAGTAGTTACGATCATTTAAAAAGCAAAGTACATTGACATTAAACTTAAACTATTTGATAAACACTAAATGTTATATCTAAAAATAGTCGAAAATTGTATCGAATAACGAGAAATATAACACTTCATATATTTTTATGACGATGCTTGCAAAATGAATATTGCCATATTGTAATCTCGCTTGAAAAAGATCATTTCCATATATGTAGTTTAAATTGTTCAGTTTCGATAATTAATTAGCTCAAATAGAAATAACTTTGGAATACTATTAAGTTATGATTTCTTTACAGAAATTATTGAGAATAATATCTCATCAAAGTCTATGAGTAAGCTTTAATATACACAGGGGGTATCTTTATGACATATATATCATCTGTGGCTAAATCCATAGTTCCAAAACCTACATGAGATATCTAATGTATGTCATATAAGTATCCAAATCATCCTTGAAAAGAAGTTGGCTATAAGGTTTCACTGCTCAATGTTATGTTCATGTGGTGAAGTGGTGAGATCATGTAAAGATCTGTCTGGACTGGACAGATGAATAATAATAATAATAATATGCACGTGTAAATAGTTACATTATTTTGTGAGCCTCGATATTCTCCACAGAAGATAAATCAGAGAAACCTTAATCCTCAAAGTCGATTTGATGATGAATAACTTCTATATAAGTGTCCTTCATTAAGCACTCACCCATATACTTATGTGTACAGCACAAATAATCTAGATTGATCTATCTCAGTCACCCACCAACCGATTTAATATGCCTATACTAGTTAATCTGTTCACGTAAAACCAGGTTTATGTATTAAGGAGTACATTATAGATTATTTATGAAAATTGCTCCTTTAAGATCATATATTTCAGAATGTATAATTGATTATAACTGTGTAATATAAGACTTATATCTCTTTACTATTTTATAGATCAAAATTTTAAAAATAAATATTTGACTTTACATCTAATTTACTTTGTGAAATGAATTAAAATTCACAATTTTCATTTCTTTCGATACTGTTATTGTCTCATTAAATTTTATTTGATCCTATTCTAATTTACGATGATTTTTATATCTGCATAATTGAAAAACTAAAACAATATTTCACTATATAGATAAATCTTGGATCTCTGTTTGTTAATTTTTTGAGCTGAACAGATTATTTGGTTGGTTTATTTTTTTATTACTTACTTACTTACTTACGCCTGTTACTCACAATAGAGCACAGGCCTCCGACAAGCATTCTTCAACTCATTCTGTCATGAGTTTTCTTTCTAATTCTATCTAATTGTTGTTCATTCTTCTCATGTCTGTCTCCATTTTTCAGTGTAATATGTTCTTTGGTCTTCCTCTTTTACTTTGACCTTGAGGGTTTCAAGTGAGGACCGTCAGTAGCCCAAGAGGGGTTTCAGGCGGTTTTACTTTTTTAATATTTTTTATACCCAAGTATAGACTTTTCTGTAGTATATTGATTTGCAAATATGGTTAATAGTTATTGCACATAGATACGATTCTATAGTTTCGAGAATAAGATCATGGCAGGAAATATATATTTCTTTTCATCTATTTGTTTTGTACTTATCAAAATGCAAGTTAATATTAATCCCATTAGATAACCTTTATTATAAGTTAACACGAATATCATTTATCGTATAAATAACTTTCTCTTTTGATCACTGACAATGCAATATTAAGTGCATGACGACACATTCGTCATCGTCATGAAGGACGATATGGGAAAAAAAGCGATCAACGACATTTTTGATAACATCAAGCTCACAATGGACCAGGAGTCAAACAACAAACTACCATTATCGGTATCCATACCAAGGTTGAACTTGATAGTTTCAAATAAATTGAACAAACTATCATTCTTGAATGTTTTAATCACCAGAACCGACACAGAAAAACTGAAGACCCAAGTTTATCGGAAACCGACCCACACAGACCAAATTCTCAACTAAAGTAGCAACAACCCAAGAGCTCATAAAATCAACTGCGTACAAAATTTGTTCAAGAAGACGAGAACACACTGTAACACACTTGCAGCGAGGAAAATGAGGAAAAATATATAAATACCATCTTCCAAAAGAACGGCTATCCAATCAATTTCGTCAAAAAAATACCAACCAAAAGCATCAGCAGAAACAAAATCAAGTGCAGAAATCAATAAACGGATCATCTTCATACATGAAAAAGGCGCATCAGAAATTCCAACAAGATTGTTGAGGTCTTTTGGAATAAATGTAGCACATAAACCAACAAAATCACTTTCAATCAATCCTATGCAAGCTAAATGACAGAAGAAAACCGAACATTATCTACTAAACAAATTGTTTCAACTGAGAAAAACACTACATCGGGCAAAGCGGATCTTGGATAGAGACAATTCTAAAAACATCAAAGCGTGTTTAGAAGGTTGGCACTCTGGTCAATCGGGAATCAACAAGGACATTAAAATCGGTCCAATTTATCAACCAATCAGCAGAATTCTGGACAGATATAGGATCAGGAATCAAATCAATGGGCAATGCAATAAAAATAAAAAAGTAAGCAAAGGCAGGGTAAACGTTAACAATAACCAGTCAAGATCGAGGTCTACAGGACAAGCTGTGAGCCATATGTGGAGAAATTCGAATACTTCACTTCAACTTGACGTTTGGGCTGAGGATGTCATTCAAAAGAACGATGAAAGCTCCACAACCAAACCATCCAGGTCAAAAAAACTCCACCAAAATCATCTACCTGAGCTGTAAATCTTCTCCACTATCTTAAGTAGTCTATATGTCTTTTTTGGATTTACTCAATATACACCCACAACTGTCTATTAATACATTTTTCAGTAATCGGTGTGTGTACTAATGCTTCCTTAAATGTCTGCAATCTAAAGAAAAAAAATAATCTTTTTTATTTATACTTCAGGATTAAGTGAAATGCCTAGAATTTCCCATTAACAATAGAAAATCATTAGTTATTAAATATCAAAGAGACTAATCAGACAGGGCACTACTGAAGAGTTCCAAAATAGCACGAAATGGCCGTTCAGTGCTTCCACATTTTTTTATGATAGTTTAGCTTCAAGTGACTCATGATCTCAACTATTAAATTATCTTTTTTTTGTAAAACAAAACATTTTTGGGAAATAATTTACAAAATGTATATAAAGTTGCTTAAGAATACGACATAATTGAAATTGTCAGCATAATTATTGTTGTTAACGTAATTACACAACAACATTTCAGACAATCTTCATTTATAATGAGAATATTTGTAGTTCCTAATATCTTTAACTAGAAGAAAATTAAATCTATTTATTGAAATTCAAAAGTAAATTTAGGCAATTCATTGTTTTCAATGTATGTAATGCAGTTTTAAAAATTAATATACAATTATCATTAATTACATAATAGTACTATTAGAAAAGACAATTCGATTTCAATTATCCAATATTAACTAAGATCTTATCATTGTAGACATTCTTTAAATCTTTAGAAGGTGCATTTTATTGTGAATACCTAAATATTTTTAACATGGATTACTACCCTAGAAAATTTGCTCAATACATCTTAAAACATAGAGAACTTTATACGTACAGCAAATGGGTAGCTAAATTATCAATAAATTAAGGAAATGTTGTAAGTGATAGGTGCCAAACCCGCTAACAACAATAAATATCGAAGTAACTATTATTAAGAGCAAAAATAAGCTACCCAATAAAATGTTATTTTGAACGATCATTCGATACGATATGAACACTTTGTCCAACCAATTATCATCCTATTTAAGGAAAAATTAATTAACTAAAATATGTGGAAATAGTTTACTTCGTAATTGGTGGAAGAAAAAGGATGGCCACTACTTTTCATATTTGAATATGTCAAAG